CTCTCTGAGCTCTCCCTTGACTCACTCCTCTACCCTTCTCGCCTGCTCCTTATAATTAATACTCTGCAGCAGGCTGCATGAAATATTTACTGAAAAAACACCGTGAAGTCACAGTCATGTGTCGTTACAATATGTCTTGCTCTGTTCAGATCCCTTTTCAATTTTCAGAAGGTTTCTGATGCCTCTTGCAGCCCAATCTCTCTCTGCTGCCCCCCCCTCTGTCTTTCTCCATCCTCTGATGTGCCAAATAATTCATGCCCTGCATATAATATTTACTGAAAGAACAACCTCAGTTTGTTTGTGATGCGAGTTTGTTGTAATGTGTCCATACAATTTCTCTTGCTCTTTCCAAACATTGTTCAGATCCCTTTTAAATTTTCAGTACGCTCATGCATTTAGTCTTTGAGACTAGACAATCTTTGTACTTTTGTGGGTGCCTTTTCCATATTTTGGGCATTTGCTTTCAGTGGCTTGGTGGAGAATACAACAGAAATCACTAACCAGGTGAAAACTCAGGTTTCACCCTAACATGCACTCGTTTTCTTTGTCCGCATTTGAGTCATCACATATTTCACCCTGTTCTCCAGGCTTTTTTTTATCACTGGTCATTTGCCCTCTGGAGTACAACACACGTTCGACTCAGGTTCGAGTGCTTCTAAGTGATAGATGTGTCGTGCTCAACATTTTTTTTTTTTCTTCCTTTGAAGGGTGATGGCCGTGGTATTTTATCTTCAAACTGACCAGCCCCAGGTAAATTCGGAGTTATTTGCTCGTCTGAGTTGATTGGGATTCGAAGTGAGGTCTGTATTTCAACAGTTCATCACTGGAGCTAGGCCATTGATTCTGAACACGAACTATTTCATTCGCTCGTCCATTTTTCGATTTGGCAGTCTGATTTCTCATTCCTCCCACCTTGACCAATACAGTGATGCAATGGAGCTTCGTGCTGGGTTTGATCATCTGGATCTAATTCGCTGAGTGAGTGCTAGGGTCTAGCAAGCATGAATGAGTGTTCTGTAACTGAAGACGGGCAGTATGGAAACGGGCTTGCAAGTTGGACTGTGATATGTGTATGGGTGGATTGGAACTTGATGAAATGAAAGAGAGGTCCAAACGAGGTCAGGGGGCTGGTGATGAAAAGCCCTTTGAAGGGCTACTGGGTGGATGTCTAACGCCAGGGTTTTCTGGGCTGTTTGATCAATGCGAAACTGACGGTGGAGCAGGAAGCTTCTGAACAGCTGCGCCTCCATGCAAAGAAGGTGCACAGACGTGCACACTAGTAAAAGGGCTATTTCATTAAGCGCTCGTCATGAAGAGGTGCAGCAGCGAACTCGCAAACGAGGGGACATTAGTTGTAACATTACAACCGATCTCGGGAAATCGGATGAAACTGGTTCTGAATTTTTTGGCAGGATAGTGGAAAATCGTGCCTTCATGATATTGGTAAATGAGTCAATCGTGATGATAACGATGATGACGAGTTTTGTGCTGCTTCAACAGGAGGAGGTTCCCGAGGTTGGCCAAAGCACAGTAAGTATGAGGCAGAAGTGCGGGACGGATGTGCTTCTTGCCAATGGCAGACAAGCTCTGGGCGAGGGTTCGTGTATGGCTGCGGGTACACCAGGTTTAACCCGTGGAGGTTGGCTCATAGAACTGTCCTTCTCCAACTGTGATACTGATAAAGCTAAGGATGATACTTGCTCATCCAGTGAAGAGAGAACTTCACTGCCCTCCCTTCTAACAAGAAATGAGGAGATTGCAGATGATGGCAGGGAAACTTGTCCTTCTTTTGACAGTCAGGGCCATATTGAAACCCCATTGACTGCGAATGGATGGCAAGGTACTGGATGGGATGGGAGAGTGCCGAGCAACTTCTCAAGTATTGACAGATGTGCAGAATTCTCGACCACAAACGTCATGGGGTGGAAAGGAATGCCGGGTTCTGTACAGAAAGAAATTGGTGGAATAGGGGCAAGCCTCTGTGAAGATGGTTGTATGCAGATCAAGCCAGAAACACAGGTGGTTAGCACTGTTGACATTCAGGGCAATGGCCTGTTCATGTGGAACCAGAACGCTCAACTCAGTGTGGCTTGTCCTCAAGGATCGTGCACAGAATTGGACCCATTGGAAGTGGAGAGGGAACAGCAGTTGGACAATCATGAGGTTGTTTGGCTACCCGGGAGGAGAGTGCAGGAAGGGGGGAAACAGCTGTCGGGTATCAAAGAAGCAATTTCACTGAAACAGATAGGACTTCAGATGCAGGATGGTGAGGCATTCCTGCAGACGTGTGAGAAACCACTGGAAGATGAGGATGAGCCTCAGGAGGATGGTGGACTCGAAAAAGGAAACACAAGGCTGGTACCTGGAGAGCTGATGGCACAGCGCACCAGTGAGGAACGGTATTCTGGCATTGATAAGCCATCATCGCTGTGTGAGGCAGTGGGCAAGGGAGATGAGACTGATGGTAATCCATTGCAGAAGGCTTTTGAGGCAATGGTCTGTCACAACGTGGTACCTCAGCACGGGATGATTCATCTCGCCTTGAATCCCAAAAACGAAGAAGAAAATGATGATGGGGATAAAATTGAGAATGTCGCTAAACATCCCACCAGCTTCAACGAGCCATTGCTCCAGCAGGCAAAGGAAGAGGAAAAGGGAAATCGTGGGCCCTCACAACTGAAGGATATAGAGGACACTGGGAGACACCATACCGTAGAGCTGTTGAGAGAAGATGATGCCCTCATTGATGGAACTAAAGGAGTGCTGAAGGACCTCACATTGTATAAGGTGGCGAATTGTATGGGTAATGGTGAAAATGTGACCATTCATGGCGGAGTCGTCGAAGATCAGTCTGCAGATGATGGAGCACTGAGCTGGAAAGGCAGCAAGTGTACTCTCTGCCGCAATTTCATGCCGACGGTGGAGATTGGGAGACTAGTAGGTGAGCACAGTGACATGGTTACTGGGATAGATTATCAATCTGCTCAGGAGATCCCTCAGACAGGCTGTTTGGAACGAGGGAACCTTCCAGGCAAAGATGGGAAAGTAGAAAGTGGTCTGGAAATCATGTCTTCCAAGGAAAGGGGCCAGCAGGTGACTGTGGAAGAGCAAATGTGGCATGAGTTCGAGAAATCTGAGGATGATGCATGTGTTTTGCCCTGTCAGCAGCGAGCAGAACCCAAGGCAATGCTATCTGTTGAGATTGACAGGGCTAATGGAAGCCCTTCCCCAGGAAAGGTGAATTGTAGTGAGCCGTCCCTGGGACTCTGTAAGCTGCCCTTGATGGCATATGGCATTGAACAACAGCGCTTCCAATTGGGTTGTATAGAATGTGAGCAGCTTCCTGACGATGTCCTGAAATACCAAACTGCTGCCGCAAGTTCTGAATGTGAGTATACTGAGAGGGAGCTGATCCACAAGGAGGATGTTCTCAAGGAGGTTCCAAAGTCAGTAACAGAGCAGGGGTCTACGCTGAGAGGGTGTGCAAAAGAGGAAATGATCGGGAGAAAAATGCCTTCATTTGGTGCAGAGAAGGCCAGCGAGAGGGTTGACCCAGGAGTGCTGAATGGGATGTTGGCAGGGGCATCTGAGAAGCAGGAGGAACTTCATCGTGCAGAGGGTGATACATCTGTTGGCGGATGTCAGAGGAACAACGCCCTGGGAAATGATAGACAGCAAAGGGGAATGATTGAAAGTATCGAGGCAACACAAATGGAAATTGACCTTGTGCATGAGGACTGTGGGCTAGCAGACGGCAATAAGGATGCAGGAGAGGATGTTCTTATGGCGCCTGGCCCTCAGGTTTTGGTGTTGGAAGGTGGAGAAGGAAGTGCAGCTGACCTTGCTGAAACAGGATTTTGTGGTGAAAACATGAAGATGGAGGTGGGCACAGAAGCTATTCAGTGTGCTGTGGTTGAGGGCATGTCAGGAACTGAAACTGAGTTTCAGCTCGATTGTGAAAATCCCGAGCAGGAGTGTACAGCTACAACCCCCAAACCAGATTTCATAACCTCAGTAGCAGAGAAACGCAGAGTTGAAAGTAATGAGCTCGTAAGCGAAACCACACTTGATATGGATACGAAGGAAATAAGTGCTCCTACAATGGTTGTTTACTCTCGACGAAGAGACTGTGGAAGGGAGTCGGGGCTTAAAACAGCTTTTATTGAAGAGAAGGGGGAGCAGGAGGTTTTATTAGGGCAGGTGTCACCTGGATGCGCCAGGGAGAAAGTTGATTATGAGAGGGCACAAATCTGTTTGGACCTTCGCCACTCTTCACTCTCCTTTAGCAGAATCGATGATGATCCATCATTGCTGATGGAACTTGACAAGTCGGCATTATCTTTCATAAAGGATGAGAGTCCGTGGAACGTCATGTTTTTATCTGCAGACAGTCTATTCCCACCACCGAGTGACTCACAAGGGGGTTCACATGCCTCTATCTGTCCGGATGGTCACATGGGAATGCGGAATAAAGATAAGGAGGGTGCAGTTGCCGGTTCTTCTGTTACGGGGAGCTTGCGAGGGAATAATATGCTTGAACTTGACTTGCTATCTGGGGACAGTGCATGTGAACCAAGTGACTGCCAATTGGAGAAGGATGGGGATTGTGAGATGTCAAGTCGAACTCTAGCCAAAGATGAACATCCTGCCGGTGGCTTGCAGATTGCTCCCAGAGCAGACTGTAATGGACCAGCTATGGGTACAACCATGGATGCTGTGAACAGACGCCCTGTATACCATTCAGAGACTCCAGCAAAACAATTGTCCCCGGAAGAAACTCCTGCAGTATCGGGGCTATCAGCCCTCGCATCAACTTCAAGCTGCTTACTGCCGTCTGGTCTCACCCAGTGTGTTTTGGTGGACCAGCCAAGTGCGCGCCAGGAATCCCCTCTATCACCCTCCCGAGACAACACGGACACGTTGATGGATTCCCCACTCACTAGGAAGAAGGGCCTGGCATTCGAGGAACAGGATGGGACAGGCATTGGAAGTACGACGATGATATCAGATAAGGATGGCCCCTTAGGAAGAGTTTCTGATTCTTCACTGCTGCTTACTGAAATGGAACATTCTGCGTTGACAACTTGTGAGCCAGAGGCAGCGCTGCATTCAGGCTCAGCAGGAACTGCCCCAGAGGCTGAGCAACACCCGGAGGCAGCAGAAATGGCAGGTTTTGCAGATGCTGCACTATCAAGGGCATCCAGGTCAACGAAGATTACATTTGAAGAACAGCCACGGACACTGAAAAGTGGAAGGATTGGCAATGATCCCAGTAGACTCCAAGACGCCTCTGGTTGCAACAATGATAACGACCATGGGCATGATCTCAGCGGCTGGTGGCATGGGCTGGAAACTGCCCAGGGCATGGAGGAATATCTGCAGTGTAGGGTGAGTATTTTACCTTACCTTATTTGCCCTGTCTGTGCTCAAGTGTGTTTTCCTCTTGTCCTGCCTCACTTTTGTTGAAGGTTTTCAGCTAGTGACTGTCGAGGCTTCTGTCATTTCACTTGCACTGGTGTTCGAATCTGGATGCGGGCAACTGCTCATTAAAAAGCCACAGCAACACAATAGATCTTCACCTGTAGAGAATTCTCCCATTGGTTATGCTTTGGACCGGCTGCAGGCAAGCTGGTGCAATGAAACTGTGGCCACCTTGTGCGCTGCTTTAACTTTTGGTCCAGGCGCTTGCAGTGGATGAAATTCTTGCTTGACCACACAGGACATCCTGGTTTTAGAAGCGCATATTGTGTTAGTGAAAGGACTGTTTTGATGATTGCGTTGACAACAAGCACACGGAGATGTCTGAGAGTGTGTGTTGTGTATCTGCATTTGCATCACCCATGTGGGTGTGGATGTGCATGTGTATT